TTCATGCAATGTTAATGGAAAATCATCTCATTCTGATGTGTTTTGATTTTGATCCTCTAAAACCATAAGAATCTTCCCATGTGAGATAAATGAGAAAATTTTGGCCTTTATCAGTATGCACTACTAACACAGGTGTTTTGACTGTATTTTCTAGCCCTCCCTCTATTTTTATGCACCTCTCTACCTGTGAGAACCTTTGACTTACTCTGAGTCCTGACCTGATAGAGTGACTTTGTCAGTCTCTCTTTAAAAATGGGCAGGTGAATAAAATGAGCTCAGCTTGGAAGCAGCAGCTCAGTAAGGGAAATGAAAATATCAGAAGTTATCTAATCACAGCCATAGCCATGCTGAGCTTCATCTTATCTTTTGGTTAATAAAAAGAAATGGGACCTTCCTAAACTTGAAGGGCATCAAATTAAGTTTTTGCTTGCCTCTGGCTTTTGGAAGATATATACTATGTGGTTTAACCAGTGTATGCTAACTACAAAAAATGGCGTGGATTCAAAACACCTATGTTATGGGAAAGTGTTCAGGTGTTTCATTTTTTGTTTGTTTTAATACAACGCAGAAAACAAAACACAAAGGCCTGTGAGAACAGGGATTGTTAAGCGAATAGAAGGGAGAAAAGAACACTTTGAGGTTAAGGTAATTGTATGTGTGTGTGCGCACCTGTGAATGAGCTGGGTTTAGTTTCATTTAAAGGGAACACATTAAAGTACCTTGGACAGTTGAAAAGTGCTGTTCAGGAAACAAAACCAAGTGAGCCAAGGAAAACCAGAACAATGCTTTCAAAATCCCTGGCAAAGCAGCAAGAGGATGAAGAATTGGTTTTGCATAGTTTTGAACCCAGGGCGAAAGGTGCTGAGGCATCTTTTCCCACAAGGCACTCACTCTCACACTCACTCTCACTCAAATCCTGTGAGTGTGAGAGTGAGTGTGTGTGTGTAGAGGGAGAGGTTCTCAGATGTTTTTCTTGCAAAGCTTCTCAGGGAACTCTCCCTTCCCCAGCCCCTCCCCCCTCACTCTGCTCACCTTTCCCCCCTCCACCTCCCAACCCCCGACATCAAGCCCTTCATAAGTTTGCCTCCCTTGGATCATCTCTGCCCCCTGTGATTTTCCCTGGAGCCTGACAGGTTCTGGGGTTGAAAGCCAGTCGGCCAAGGCGCCCCGGGGGCGCGGTCAGATTTGGAAAATAGAGTGGGAAATCGAGCCTTAAAGCCCACCAACTCCAAGATGAACGGGGAGCATTTTTCATCAGGGTTGAGCCTGCTCCTCACCGGATGGTAATCAGCACTCACTTGACTTGGCGTGGCCCAACTCCTAATTGACTCATTAACAGTTCTCGTGTGTCTGTGATACCACGCGGGGTCGTGATCTCCTTACTCAGCTGTGGCTTGGCTTCAGAGGTCCCTCATATCCCGTCCCCCGCCCCCTTTTCCCTCCGGCTACTTTATTCCACAGAGGAAGCAGCGCTGAAGGACTGGCTTGAATCAAGGCACTTGCAAGCCTATCGATTAGTTTTTAACGCTGAGAGCCCCTGAGGCAACTAAATATTATCAGAAGCTCATTGTCAGAAGTGTGGGGGAGGAGGTTGAGAGGCTGAATCCAACCGCAGCCAGGTCAAGTCACCGGACGGGACTACAATGTCCCACAGCTTTCTCACTGTCAGAGAGGAAGCTGCAACTTCAGCCCGGGTTCCCTCCCCCTCCCCCTCCCCGTTTTGAAAACTGTACCCCTTCTTCCGCCTTCGGGACGTCCCCTCCCCTGCCCGGTCTTCCTCCCCAACTCCATTCCCCCCACCCCACCCAGGGCGAGTTGGGTGGACGTCAGCAGGCGAGAGGTGGGGGAGGAAAGTTCCTTCAGATGAAAGACGACGCTTGCAGCTGCTTTTTTAAAACAACAACAGCAACGATACGCGAGCAAATGTGAGCGAGAATCGGTGCATCTCAAAAGTTGGTCGTGCTACGCAGCAGCCCCAACAGACTTTGCAATCACAGCGCCCCGGGAACAAGGGAATGAAGAGTTGGCATTGACTTACCTGGGTGTGCCAACCTGGAGGAGTGCAGAGAGAATTCAGCCCGGGACGAGGTCTGTCCCGCCCCCAGGACGCAAAATCCGGCTTTGGAGTGGGGGCGGCTGTGCTGTAGTTACGTGGTGGTGTGAGGGGCGTCGCACCTCCTTCCCCTCGCGTCCTCCGAGGCCAGTTTAGCAACAGCGGCTGGGAAAGGTGCTGAGGGCAGAGTTTGGTCTCTCCGGAAACCCTGACTCCATTCTCGGTGATGGCGGTGGGGGAAGAGGGTGAAAACGCTGGAGATGGCAGGTCGGCTCTGAGTTAACTCAGAGAGTAAAGAGGAGGGTACTGAGGAAAGAGGGAGGGGTAGAGAGGAGCGAGGGAGGGGAGGAGGACGGCAGGAAGAGAAGGGGATGAGCGGGTGGCGGGGAGACGGCAGCTTCTCACAGAGATTTCCACCTTCTGACGAAACCCATGCACCCAGCAACCCGGCAAGAGACTAGTTCGGAAACCTCCGCGCGAGCGCCCCCTGGGGGTTGCTGGCGGAGACGAGCATTGCCCCGGGAACCCGAGCCCCGGGCCCCGCCCAGGCCTTGGCGGCGGCGCTCTCCGTGGTCCTGCCGCGCTCACAGTCCGGGCTTTCTGCTCCGCTTCGTCGCTCCACTGGGCTCCTGGGGACACTTGATTTAGATCTCCAAGTGTTTGGTCTCCCTCTCTCCTCCAGGGTGGAGCTGTAGTATCGCGGCAGGGGTGCAAGGGGAATGGGAGTTACACTTTTTTTGCACACATTAAAGAAAACTTCTTGGATGGGTGCTTAACTCTCACCAGAAATGGTGGAGGTGTTGCTCACCTCTGTATCAGCCATGTCTACAAAAGCTTCAGGCGTATGGTAGAAGCCTGGTAATTATTTTTAGCAACTAAATGCATGAGTAAATTGATGGACAAAGAGTATTTTCTTCGACTCATAACGGGTTCTGAATACATCCACCTCACAAATAAGATAAAGAAATACTTAGGGCGTACCCATGCTTAAAGATAGATACCGATATGCTATCTTATGTAAGGAGTAACCACTTCCACATGTTATAAAGCACTTTAGAGAGAAAGCATGGCCTTCCTGTTTCAAACTTATTCAAATGCAGACAAATGAGCTTATTCAAATATAGGGCATTGTTTCTGATTATGTCTGCTACCATAGACAAACAAGAAAACTAAATACTCTCTGCACATTGATATTGTCAGACTCACAAATTGGACTTTGGAATTAATGAAGTAAAGTGAATGACAGTCTCTTTCTGACATTGGGATGGCATAGAGTGCATTACATCTAACATGGAGAGGAGATGGAAGATCTTCCTTCTCACCCTATTAAGGTGCTAACAAAGCCTGTCTTCAGGTTGGAGGGAATATCAGCCAAAATCATTTCACTAACCATAGAATTCTCAATTTCAAAGTCCAGAAAAGGAGAAACAATAGGGTAAGGAGCAGGACTCCCTCTTACTTGTTCTATAGAAGTAGTCAGAAAGATCTTTGATAAGCAGAGAGACAACCTTCAGAAAGAATACAAATAATATTTTTCTTCCTTCAGTCACCTCTAAAGCCTTTCTGAAATAGGATAATACTAAACATGGACCCTGGAAAGGACCTCAGAGAGCTTCTCTATACACTGAAACTACTTAAATCCTTGGATTTGCTTTGATTACAAAAACTTGGGTCACTTGGTTATGTATAAGTCAATCATTGTAACCTTTGGATATGGAACTACACTAATGGGCCAGGCCTTCCGCAATGTCTGGGAGTATGTGATGTCTTCTACAGCACTCCTGGAGCCAGGATGGAGCCCCACCTGATCTACACCCATTAAGAGTGTGACACAGAGACAATTCTCCAAGGGATATTCAGGGTCCTCCTACCAGGAAAGGGGAGATAGATGCTAAGCAGGTAAAACCAGCATTATGATTACTAAATGTGAAAATGTTAAGTCCAAAAATATTGCTTCCTGGTTTTGTTAAGAGGTAGCCTCAGAGATAAGCTCAAAGTTTGAGTTGGATTGAACTCAGATGAAGGGAAAAGAAGGAAATGTCATTATGCCTTTCCTTGCATGTTAGTTGTATCCTCTAAAATTTAATTTCCATGAAGGTGAGTAATATGTCTGTTTTGTTGTCTTGTTCATGATTATAGCCCCAATGCCTAGGAAGGTGTCTGCCATTTAGTAGGTAGCGAACAAACGTTTATAAAATTAAAAATAATGTAAATATCTTAGAGACCATTCAGCATAAACTTCTTGTATTATAATTAAGAGAAAAGGAATTAAGACGTGCTGCGCATGTACTATTTCCAGGCAATCTGTTAGGTACTCTACTTACCATCTCATTTAATTTTTACAACAACCTGCCCAAGAAAGTTTTACTATTTGTTTGGGTGGTTGAAATGACCAGACCAGGGAATACAATTAGTTCATGGGAGTCTAGAGGTTTTTCACTGAGGCAATCTCTAAAGGGGCAGCTAAGAATGGCTGAACACATGGACCACAGAGAGGTTACAGAGTCAAAGCTCATAGGGGAAAAGAAAAACAACATGGTTATCTTTGGCCCTACACATTAAAACCACAGATACACAAACTAAACACAATTCCACAACTTGTGACAAATAGGGTTTCCTTTGCCAGCAGGCTTCAGCTCCCTAATTAGAAACAAACAGTTGCCTGCATGCCAGTGTGCAGAAAACACATGCAGCTTTATGCCAGAAACTTGGAATTTTTTCTCAAGGCATGACACTGAAGGTAAATTCAAAGAGGCTTTTTACAGGGCACATAAAGCAGAATTTACTCCCATCTCTTACAGGAAATCAACAGTTCATCTGCACAAATGAAGATGTGTAACCAGCTAATAATCCATGTTTTCAATCACTGCCCCCACAGCAAGTTGCCCACCAGGCACAGTCCCCTCAACAATTGTAACACCAAAATCCCCTTGTCTGTATCACTTACCTCCTCCCAACTCTCCTTTTAATGGATTCTGAGCTGCTGGGTTCTACAGCCATGGTCAAATTTATCTAAAGACAAGCCAAGGAGCCACTGTGACACTGGTGTTCCCAAGTTGCAAAGGAGCATCAGCTCTGGGTAGATTCACTCGCCGGGTCTCTGTTTGATAACATAAGGGGAGGCATCCGCTCAGTGTCTTGTGCCAGTATGAAAGGCATCTCACCCATCAGTGTGACAAGTGAAATTCTGGAATGGAGCCAGGGAACAAAAGGGAAGAAATGTGGATTCATACCAGTGCAGTTGATACCATTTTTGAAGGAGAGCAGATGATGAAAGGGAAAAACAGGCAGAGAGTCAGTGCCCTGCATCAAAACCCTTGGATGCTTCCCTGAATGAGTCAGGGTGTGCATTTTGTTTTGAAATTGAATTCCTGTTTTCTTTTTCTTTTGAGCTGTGAGATGGTTACATATTCAATTACTCAAGGGAACTGCTGTAAATAACAGGATATATTTTTGAGGCTGTGGATCATGTAAGAACCTTGAATCTCACCCTAGGGCTATTTATAGCTTAAAAATTTGTTCTTTTTTCTATTTCAAATGATTTTTGAGAATTGACTGATATTCCTTCCTCTGGTGTTTCTCTATATGCCTGAGGTGTGATGCATTGCTGGAAAGCAGAAAGGAACACTCTAAGAAAGCACTTCTTCAAAGATGCTAAGAGTCAAGGAAAACTAACTTACATGTTCCAAGCTGATGCAGGAATTAAATATTCCACTGTCTGTCATTTTTTGTTTTATGGGAACCCTATACCACCTGTGGTGCCTCTAACACTGAACCTGTACAATGACAGGGCACTTTATACTTTTGTCTACCAATAGGTGGCATCAAAATCTCTCTAGCTTTTCATTCCTGTATTTTAAAAAACCATAGGCAGAGGGCATTTTCTTTCTGAGATTTTACATTTTATTATAAGTGATGTTATAAAGGCCACCAAATAGCTCTATATTATTTCAGAGCAGGTTTTCCTATTGCTCTATTAATGAGGTCTCTCAGTCGTCCCTCTGAGACTCACTTTTCTCATCATAAAAAGAAAGTATTTGAACTCCAGCTCCAAGATTCTGCTTTTCAGCTACATAATATCTTCCCAGACACACCATTTTCTCATGCCTGTGATAAACCCATTAGGACTCCAGTCCTCTGGGCTTAAGGAATATTAGCAGGCAGCTATCCCTTGGTTGCAGGGGCTGCTATTTGCCCAGCCTATATCCATTTTTGTTTTTCCTTACTAAGAAAAATATAATTTTGTGGAAGGTAGCAATGTGCTCAGCTCCAAACCTACATTTTCCAGCTTTTCTTGCAGATGGCGTAGTGATGTGATTAAGGCCTAGCTCTGCACTATTTATTATGGTAGCCACTAGATACATGTATCTATTTAAATTTAAATTTATTAAAATTAAGTAAAATTAAAAGTTCATTTTGTCAGTTCCACAAGTGACACTGTAAATGCTAAACAGTCATAAGTGGCTAGTAGCTAACATCTTGGATAGTTCAGATATAGAACATTTCTATCATTGCACAAAGTTTTGTTCTATAGCACTGATCTAGCCATTGAGATGTCAGTAGAAGTTATAGGGCAGTTTCTGCGAGGTTTTCAAAGGGAAGGAGATACTGAGTCAGCTGGAATGTACCTTTATCTCTTTACCTCTTCCTTTCTTTCTACCTGAAGGTTACGGTAAGTCAGCCATCATGTGACCATGAAGCGGCAAGCATTTGCCAAGGCAAGTTAAGCAGAAAGACAAAAGGAACCTGGGTCTTTGATATCATAAAGGCAACCACATTATTGTCAGCTGTATTATGAGAAAAACAAAATCTTCAATTGATTCAAGCCACTGTTTTCAGCTTTTTATTACGAATAGCTAAATATTATTTCCAACTGATGTACCATCAGAAACTTACCTGGACAGCTTTCTATTAATGACTGAAACAGCATGTGTCTTTCCAGTTTCCTTTACTTTGGTTAGAGTTGAAGACCCGACTCTGGCTATAAAGAAACAAAACAATGTATACACCACAAAGTGATGAGTATTAATCATTCATTTCAATATGCCCAATGGACCAAAAAAGGGGCAGATGGGTATTAATGATTCCCAAAATAAATAACCCCTATTTTATAATTTGGCTAAAGAGTAGCTTTGTATTTTCCCAGAAAAGAAGTTGGTGGGGGGAAAAAAAAAGATAATATTTGAATCTGTACTATAAGCTAGAAACTTGGCTGAACAATCTGACATTATCATATTTAATGTTCATGAAAATCCAATAACGTAACCATTCATATCTCCCTTTTTTGCAGATAACAAACTGAGGCTCAGAGAAATCACAAATCTTGTCAAAATCTACATCATTGAAGAGATGGGTTTTAAATCCAGGTCTGCTTGGCCCTTGCCACGACTTCATAATGAAATTCCATGGGTGAGGGTTACCAGTTTCTGGTCCATCCTTGCTTTTTTCAAGGGTCTCATCATCCCATCCACTGTATCACTTTTTTTTCTTGTTGTTACAGGCTTTACTCTTTCCTACCATGGAAAAGACTGATGATATTTTCTACTTCATAAGCTTGGAAATATTCTCAATCACCATAAAATTCAGCCTTCCTCTGTTAACTCTGGAGACCCTCAGAGCTTTTCTTATTTCCAGAGACAGGCGGTTTGGATGAGAATTATTCTCTATTTTCACACAAATTGGCCAGATGACATCTTTACTGGTATCTGAAATAGAAGCAGAAAACAACTTGGAGGACACAAAATGTGAAGGTTGGAGAAAAAGCTTTGAATTCAAACTGAAATTATTTCCTTTGCTGAAACTCAGAGAAAACAAGTTACCTAAACACTTATTAAAACTTTTATTTATGAGATAATTCTAAGATAATAAAGAAGCCATGTAAAGAAAATCTATAAAATTCAAAGAGAAAATGAGAGAAAAACAATATCATTGCAGATCTTAAAATCACATTCTGCAAAAATCAAAAATGACCATGCCGAAAACAGAGCATTGTCACAGAGGCCAAGTAAGTGATGTTTATGGTAACCTGAATTGTTAAGAGGAAGTTAAGTGTATTCTGAGTTATTGATTAAGAAATCAAAAGCTACATTTTATAAATACTCTTTCCAAAAGGAGATTAAATTATTTCTAAATCAACCTGTCACTAAGATCAGCCTAGACTCAAGGGAAGGAAACATAGACCCACCCCTTGGTGAGAGAAATATCAAATGATTTTCAGATATTTTTGAACCAACATATCCTGTACTAAAAATGCTCAATCCTTTCCAGCTACCTATTTCTAATGCCCTCAGTATGTGTGTATATATATATATATATATATATATATATTTTTTTTTTTCAGACAGAGTTTCGCTCTTGTTACCCAGGCTGGAGTGCAATGGCACGATCTCGGCTCACTGCAACCTCCGCCTCC